GTCCGTGTTGGTTAAGGACCGACCGTTGCATAAGACTCTAGGCAAGTCATAGACTTATTATCCCAGGCACATACTTGGGTATGGGCGCTTGAAAGACTTATTGCTCTCTTGTCGTGGATCCAGCTCTTTCTAGACCGACTGCCAGGGTGGTTTTTGGGTTAGGAGGTCCTTGCACCGCACTGAGTCCGGGACTCAGGGGCGGGGGCTTGGAGTCCTAGTTTGGACGGGGACCTAGACACCCAGGACAGGAGGGTGATGGGTTGGTCCTGCTTATGCCTTGGGTACCAGCGGGGTGTGTGTTTTTGGGGTACCCAGCTAGGGGCATTGATTCGCGAATCGCCGGGCAATCCGGTACGGCTTGTCTGCGGTCTAGCACTGTAGTAAGAACTGAAAAAGGAAAGATGGAATGGAAAAAGGAAATCTGATTGGTTACCACCTGCTTGAAAGTAGCACAAGTGCTTACATAGAATGGTTGGTTAATGAATTAATGCGGCTGTTAATGAAAATCAAATATAAGGACACACTTTTAGTAATGCTCCTGCAGATGCAATAAACCCACAAGTCAGATAGCCTTGCATATCCTTGGAGTTTTTTCTTTTCTCCTGTCGGGTAAGTCTTGCTGAGTACAATTGAGTACTCAGGGTTTTATTCCCCCTGTTGCAGGTGACAGGCGGATACTAGAGCTGACTCTTGTGTGTGGACTCCTCCTGGTGGGCTCAGCGGGGATTCCTTTACACTACGATCGTAGTTTTTATTTATAACTCTTACTAAATGTTTTTATAAATGAAAGTTTTATAATCTGTTGTTATAGTTTTTATATATCAATGCTTCATCATGCCATGAATAGATAATTATTTCCATTGTAATTCTGATCACATGTTTATATTCCGCTGTTACATTAAATTGTTCATAACTCTGATAATATGATTACATTCCGTTGTTATAATAATAAATATTACACTCTGATGTTGTATTAAAAATGATGTAGGAAATGGTTAATAATGATATAAGCTCTATTCTCTCATTTGTGATCCTGATGTAAAATATGGATTTTCGGGTTTTCCCTTGGGGTGTGCCCGATGGAACTGTGTAATTTGGTGTTCTTCCTTGAGTGCTTAGTATCTAATGGAAGACGAGCACTCCTAGGAGACATTAGATTAGGCGGTTCTGCCACACTTGGACTCCAAGCCCCCGCTCCTGAGTCCCGGACTCAGTGCGGTGCTTAGACGTCCACCATCCCCGCCTCCAATCAGTCATTCCGAAAAGAGCCAGAACCCATGACAAGAGAGCAATGAGCCTCTCCGCGCCCATACACAAGTATGTGTTTAGGATAATAAGTCTGTGACCTGACTACCATCCATTGCAACGACCGGTCCTTAACTAACATAGGTGGAACAAGTGCAACCCGAGCTTCGCTCCAATGCCAAACCGAGTCCAGATCCAAAGTACCATTCCGCCCGGTCTATAATTATCATTCATATTTTTTAGGTGATTATAATATAATAGCAATAATAATATCTTTCCTATCTCTCGTGAGTGACAGGCAATCACTCGACTTCTATCATTGTCGTGTAGCATAACAATCTACACGATCCTGTCATACTAGTAAAACTCATAGGATAAGGATATATATATATATATGCAAGTGGGTTTCATCCAACTCCCTAAACTTAATGCACAAGCATAAATTAAAGAGCAGAATAATAGGGGTTATGCACTGGGGCTTGCCTGGGAAAAATATAACCAAGTTAGGTTTCCATCATGGCGTCACAATCATCAAGGCACCATCTTTTCTGCTACTTCGGTCATCTCCTTGATCCATCATTGTCCCGGAAAATGTTTTCGTTCTTCCAACCCGCGATTATTTTTTATATTTAATTGGTTAAATATTTATTTTCATACAGGGGCTCAATTAGTTACCTTAACAAACTAATTTCTATGGAGCTATAGAAATTATAGTGAGCACCCTATATTGTTAGGAATCTACTGTAAAAATTTTAGAGCCAACACTATCACCAATTTACCACAACAATTCCTACAAGTTTATATTTAGACAATATTAAGTATCTAAAATTAATTATACAGCTTCTAAGAATATTATAAAACTATGTTAACAAAATATAGTAGCAGATAGATCATGATTTTAGGAGTCTTAACAAAATTAGTTTTACAATTTTTGGACATCTATAGAAATTTATCTTGAATTTACAAATTTACTTTAGAGACTAAATTGGAAAAGGCTTAGAAAACGAAAAAGGCTGGTGGCGACCAAATCGGCCCAGCAGCCCAGCGCGGGGGGCGGCTACGCGCGCATCGCGACGGCCCAGCGTGGCCCAAGACTAGAAGGCCTGCGTGCGCTCACGTTTTGCAAAAGAACCCTTGGATGAATCGGTTATTACGTGGCACCTCCGATCACTATTGCACGAGAGACGTATTTTACATTAAGGACCTTGGAACCTGTTGCCTTCACAACGGGGCAGTCCCCGGCGTACCCGCGCGCGGTGGCGCGACACACCGGTGGCAACGGTGGTTACGCCGGGCGAGCTGGACCCACTGCGACAGGAATAAAAGGCCGACCCCCATCTATGGCTAAACCCGCAAGCATGGATGGTTGTTGAAAACTTAGCGGCGTACTGCCGAGAGCGGCAGCGGCTAGCCGCGGTGGCGGCGCGGCCGATCCTATGAGCCTATGCAATCACATGGGAGTAGAGGTGGTGGAGAGGCATCAGTAGCTCACCTAGGTGCACGCCCAAAGATGATTGAAGCAGGGAAATGCTGGGGCAGGCTGGCCACGTGTGTCCGCACCGCGCGGCGGCGCTACGAGCGTGGCACCAGCATGTCACCCTGCCACCAACGAACGCTCTGGCCAAAACAACACGAGCACCGAATACGGGGAATCAAACTGAGTTCCGAGCTATGATCAATCGAATTGTTAACAGCTCTATAGTTGTTACCCGCAGTTTCCCGAGCACGGTGGCGATTTTTGACCGTCGACGAGCCAATCGCCAAATTGGCCGACCACAATGCTCGTCTGTGCCTTGGTGAGGGCCGGGCTACTAGATAACCTCCTAGGTGTCTTGCTGGCGCGAGGAATCAGACTGTGAAGCCTCGAGCAAGGTGAATTAGTTAGGGGGGAGTGCGGTGCCCAGGCTGTGGTCACGTCGAGAGAAATGACGGGTGTCCCGCTTGAACTAAACAAGCTTTAGCGTTTTTGCCATGATTTTTAAAGGGTCTAAACCTTGCCGGATTCAACTAACAATTGCACCATGACCTAGTCCATACTTCGTACTAACCGGTAGGAGCAAGGTATTTAAGCACTATTTAACTATTTTGCTCAATATAATTCACCAAAATAGTACTTTAAACATAAATTCAAGTGTTTGCCGACTTACCGAAAAGAGCTTATCTTAACATCAAGTTAGATTTTAGAGCTCCCAAAACACTAGTTAACAACATCTATTTTTCAAAAGTTAATGTTGCATTTCCGTCTACTAAATTTGTACTTCAATTTTTATTTAAGTGTTAAATACAAGTTATGTTTTATTCTTGTTTATAGAAATTGATTTTCGTGCCAAACAATTAAAACTACTTTTCCTATTTTCTTGTTAGGATTTTCATTAGTGTATTTAAGTAAACTAACTCACTATATTAATAGATCTACCTCTCAGGTCATAATCTCAGTGCTTAGCGAGCTCGTAACACGAGAGGTGTTACATACAGTTTCTCATCTTTGGATGCCTAACCCCTGCTCTCGGGATGTTGATCTATCTCCAGTGTCTTTGATAATCAGGCTGTTCAGGCGATCACTAGTGTTCAGCCCGTTCACAGTGATCAACATGACATTCTGAGATGGACTCCCTCCAAGACTGGTCAGTGCACTACTAAAAATGTATACAGGCACCTCAGTTCCTAGCTGCAGATTGATCTTCCTCAACAAGGATCAAGAAGCATTCAACCTCAAGCTAACCAGATTCTATAGAGAGCTTGGAAAAGCAGGGAATTGTCACCTCTCATCAAGGCCTTTACCTGCAGTAAGGTATTCCACTCATATTGACGAACATTGTGCCTCTTGCGGTGTAGTGGAAGATGATGCTTATCTCTTCTTTCACTGCCACCTCCCTAGAGCTGTTTGGTTTTCTAATGACCCTCCTCTTAGAATTGATAATCTTCCATAAGAAAATGACGGAGTGCAACTAACTCTCCAGGTTTTTATTTCGAACTCAACCTCTAACTCTTTACTGCACAAGATACTAATCACTATATGTGGTATTTGTGGAAAGCAAGGAATGACAAACGATTCCATAGAAAGGTCTGGACACCTTGGCAGGTTCACCACACGGTGGCAGCGCATATTGCCAGCTACCAACAGGAGCCGCAGCAATCACAGGCACACACCACAGGGTCCCAAGCTACAACTTCGATGAACTGAGAACACCAATCCTCCACCATAACCCCTGCTGCTGACACTACACTCACAGGTATGAACACTATATTTGTGTTAGATGTATAGATGTACTTTGTATTTTTCCTCTACTTGGAGGGGCTCTTTGTATATGTACACACATGTATACTTGCCCCTTTGGGCCTCGAATAGAGGATGTTGGCCAATTCTAACATGGTATTGAGCTAGGGTTCTAGGCTCACCTCAGCCGCCGCCGGCCGACTCGCACCGCGTTGCGACGCCTCGCGCGGCCCTGCGTGGCCGTCCGCGCCCGCCTCGCGCCCGCCCTGCACATCTCCACGCGGCTGTCCGCGCTGCCTCACCCGCGCCCTTGCATGGCCACCCACGCTGCCCCGTGTGGCCGTCTGCGCATCGCCTCACGCGGCCGCTGCTCTTTCCTGCGTGCTCGGCTGCTTCCCGGCCTGCCCGCCTCCCTCTCCTCTGTTTCCGCTCCTCTGTTTCCTGCCTGCCCGACTCCCAGCCTCTCTCCCATTTTCCTCCTCTGTTTCCTTCTTCTTCCTTATTTTCTTCCAAAAAAACACAGTGAGCTCCCTTCTCCATGGCATCCCCCAGTCGCACCCGTCCTGATGCTATTCCTGTTCCTCGGTGCCCTGTCATTTTCAGTGGCACAAATTGGGGTGACTTTGTTTTCCATCTGGAGGTCCACATGGATGGGCAGCTATTGTGGGGCTACCACACGGGTGACCGGATCTGTCCTCCTTGTCCTATTCTCCCCACGCCACCAGCATACCAGCCACATGCTGATGATGATGCCAAGATTGCTTTACTTGAGGCATTTGAGGCTCAGATGGAGAGCTACCAGTCTAATCTTGGTGTCTATGAGACTTGGCTGCGCGAGGAGAAATCTGCTAAGGCCATATTACTTGCAAGCATGGAGGTCGATCTTGCACGGTCCCTCAGAGGTCTTGCCACTTCACACCTTATGTGGGATCACCTTCGTCGCAATTACGAGATCCGTAACGAAGCAACGTACCTTGCTGTTGTTGAGGAGGCTCAGTCACTTCATCAGCTTGATTCTACACTTGAGGACTTCCATCATCAGATGCTAGACGTCTAGCATCGTCTAGATGATTTGGGTGCTGAGTTCTGTGGTGGTGGTACTTGTCATTGCTGTGACCGCCACCAGGACTAGAGAGACACACTTCGCCTTCACGAGTTCCTCTCTCGGCTGCGTCCGGAGTTCGAGATTGTTTGGGCACAGTTGCTGACTCGTCGTCCGCGCCCATCGCTCTCAGAGGCGATGCCTGACCTGTGAGCCGAGGAGACTCATCTTCGAGCTAGAGGTGTGAGTCATGCCTCGCCGCAGCCCTCCGTCCTAGCGGCCACACCTCCACCGGTCTCTCCGCCTCTGTCCCAGTCTCCAGTGGTGGCGGGGGTCCCTTCTGGTGTGCAGTGTGGCTAGTGCAAGCTCTACGGCTGTGAGGAGAAGGATTGTCGCAAGAAGTAGCTCAACCGACAAGGGCGTCGTGATAGACGCTCCTCTCAGGGTTCTGGTGGTTCCTCTACTTTGTAGGGCACTCGTTCTGTGTCTGCAGCGGAGCAGGAGGTTCTTGCCTTGTTTCGTCGCCTCACTACTACAGCTCAGGCCTCTGCTCATGGGACTACAGCTCAGGCTTCTAGTTCTGCCCCTCCTCCTCCATTAGGTATATCATCCCCGTGGTTTCTCAACTCTGGTACCTCTTGTCATATGACACCCCATGCGACACACCTATCCTCTCTGTCTTCTTCTGATCCACCTATTTTTGTTCGCACCGCTGATGGCACTTCCCTCCTTGTTGCTAGGAGAGGTGTTCTTTCGACTTCTTCTTTTGATGTTCCTACTATTTCGCATGTTCCTCAGCTCACCATGCAACTTCTGTCTGTGGGTCAAATCACTGATCATGGTTGTCGCATAATCCTTGAGTCTGAATCTTGTTGTGTTCAGGATCTCCATACGAGCCTTTTGGTGGGAACTGTGCCTAGGCATCGGGACTCACAATGCCTATGGGAGCTTGATTGGTTGCGTCTTCCTTCACCCGTTTTGACTCCCCCATCACCCGGTTCTCCAGCATCTGCATCAGCTGCTTCGTCTACCGCTTCTTTTGCGCAGTGGCATCATCGTCTTGGCCACCTCTCTAGTTCTAGATTGTCCAGTCTTGTTGGTAGTGGTGTGTTAGGCCCTATTTCTAGTGACACTGCTCTAAATTGTATGGGTTGTAAACTTGGCAAACAGTTGCAACTCCCCTATCCCTCTAGTGAGTCTAAATCCTAGAGACCTTTTGATTTTTTTCACTCTGATGTATGGGGTCCTGTACCTTTAGTTTCAAAAGGAGGGCAATCATATTATGTTCTTTTCATTGATGACTATTCGAGATTTACTTGGATTTATCTAATGTCCTCTTGAGGTCAATTTCTTTCTATTTACCAGCAATTTTCTACCATGATCCGTACCCAGTATAACTCTCCCATTTGAGTTTTTTGTGTGGATTCTGCTGGTGAGTACATCTCCACTACTCATCGCTCATACCTTGCTGAGCAGGGTACTCTTGCCCAATTTTCATGTCCTAGTGCTCATGCTCAGAATGGTGTTGCTGAGCGCAAGTGTCACAGAACCGACCAATTTATAAGAGCACAAGTACAAAAACAATCGCCGAAACGATCAAATTCTCGAACTTGAGCCCATATAAACCCGGTAGTCAACTGAAATCTCGAAGGATTTCAAACCAACTTGCATACAACCAAGATCACAGTAATTCAACATAACATATCGTACGTTACAACATTTCACAGACGTTTGCAAATAGATTACATCATCACAGAGTCAACGTTATTACAAAACAAGTCTTGTAAAACATGCGGAAGCAAATAGTTTAACTCACACACTCGAGTTCAAATACACATACTGGTTTGCTGATCACAGCCCGCAAAAGCATTCAGATAAGGGAACAGAGATCATGCCCATGATCTAGTCTTCATCACCCGCCGGGTGGAGACAATACTTACAGAATCCCTGATATAGAAGGTCATCTGCAACAAGAGGGAATAAACCCTGAGTACGGGAATGTACTCAGCTAGACTTACCCGCCAGAAACCAAAATAAATGACACCAAGGATTATGCAAAGCTTATTGTAGTGGATCTGGTTGACACTTTCTTTTTGCAGAAAAGCATAAGTAATAATGATCAAATCTTAGCCTGGACTAGCAGTGACTTTTTAACCATTAACCTGACAACTACATTAGCACCTGTACTAAGCAATCATATTATTAGGGTGCAAACATTAATAACCATATCAGGTATTCATTGGCAACCTTATCATCATCATCCATTTAACCATATCGTTAAATTAATTGAATCTACGTTGCCGCTGCTCAGTCAAGTTCTCACTATCCGGGAGAGACGGCGATTTGAATCGATTCCTATCCAGCTGGAGGGGTATTCCTAAACACAAACCCTGCTTCTCCCGTCGGAGTCGCAAACAAGTCACCTTTGGTATGATTCAGGAGTCGCGAGTCCGATCAGATCGACATTCTCGAGAGAACCACTCGCCAAGGTTGTTCGGGACTCTAACCCGCCTTGGACTTATGCCAATGGCTCTCCGCACATCCTTACTACCTCCGAATGTCGCCACCGCCTTTCGCGTCCCGGCCTGATTCGAGCTACTAGGCTTCATGGTCGGAACGACTTATCCGCCCAGCTAAGTGTTAGGCATGCGTTCAACATGACATGAGGACGTCTGACAGTAGATCGGTCCTTAAACGACTTCGAGACGGAGTCACTATGTTCAAACCTACACAAGACCCCGCCGGTCTTAATTCATTATTCACATGGTTCTTTTCCACGATAGCAAATATAGCCAACCGTGACCCACCTCATCCTAAAGCTCGCGGTGACAGAAATCACCGACTTCTACCGCACTAAGCATGGCTAAGCATATAACCCGTTCCTGAACTTAAATAGGATTCCAGCATGATATCTCGGACAAGGAAGGATATATAATGCAGCAATTGGTTCCAACCAATTCCTATACTTAATGCATCATCAACAATAAAAGGTACTCAAAGTATTTGCAAAAACATGGGAGGCTTAATATGCTCCGGGCTTGCCTTTCGAGAACGAGGAAGGCTGGTGGTCGTGGCACTCGGGCAGATCCTCCATGGCCGATCGCTTTCGTCGACTTCCTGCACCTCGGGTTCCTCCTCCTGGTTGGCTCCCTCGAACTCCAGCAACGTCACTCCCTCCGCACACCTATTGCATGAATGCTCAAGATAAATATCATGGATGCACATGAACGATCGTCGAGGATGCTCGGAGAATGCACATGTTCGTTGTAGTTTGCATATTCCAACTTAAGCCCTATTCAAAACACTTTACTTACCAAGTCTATACAACCTAATGTATAATTGCTCATCTTCAGTTAATGACCTAGCACCTGCACCTAAGCATATTTTCAAGTTAGGCTAACCCCAAACAATCAACGATTACATTGCAACACATTCAATCAAGCATTGTATTTCAGCAAATGAAGACTATATAGCGGTACATTAAACTAGCCATAACTGGAGATGTATAATTCCAAATGACATGAAACAAGACAATCTGGAAAGCTTATGAAATTGTCTACAATTCATTTTAGACCTCAAAGCATGATTCGACACTTTACCAGCTCGAATTCATAAATCAACAGAACTCTGTCCTCACAAGGCAGAGAGTAAGCAAAACAGGAACCTAACTTTAAACAGCTGTAGTTTCTAAACTACTGGGCCAAATGCCCTCAAATTTTGACAGGAGCTAGATACATAAGTTATCTACAACTTTTGTATTCAACACAAGCACAGAAAACCACATTATCATGGGGAACTTTCCAAAGTCCCCAGATCTGTCCAGCGGGACATAATGCAACAAATAATTGTTAACTTATGATATAAACGCTTGATTGGACAAAACCAACTTTACTGACATATCACACATATCACAAGAACACTAGAAAGTAGGGTGTCCATCACCAAAACATTTCTTTTAATACCTTTCTTAATTTATTTAATTAATTAGGGGAAATAGTAAACATATATGAAAACTGCCCCATTAATTCTACAAAAATTACAGTAGACACTACATGCTCTAAATAGACTACCATAAAAATTTCACACCATTTGAGTAAGTATTACAACCTACACAAAAATGGTAAGTCAGAATGGCTTAAAATGGCATAATTAGGAAACCCTAGTGAAAAGTGTCAAGCAACAGATTTCATATTTTTCCTTGCATTCTTAAGGTACTGGGATACTCTCCAACAAATTTCATAGTCAATGGATTCATAAATAAATTACTAAAATTCTCACAAGAATCATCCAATGATAAAAGGAAAATCTATAACTCAAAAACTACACATGCAATGACTCTCAAATTTTAACCAGAGCTTCTACTAAGCAATACTAGCTTACCCACAAAATTTCACAATTTTTGGATCACAGAAACTCAAGATATGATTTAAACAAGTTTGCATGCACTCAAAAACACTTTTTAAGTTCCTATTTAATTCATCCAAAATTTCTACAAAATGTGCTCAAGATATATTTTTCTTAAATACTAGACCTAACTGTGAGTCTAACAAAATTGGAAGTACTCAATTTGGATCTACCAATTGGGAGTTACAAAAATCGTAAATCGGCATTCAAAACTGAAAATTTGAACTAGCCCTAAGACTGCTCAGCCACTGACAATTGGGGTCCACCGGTCAGCTGGGCCCGCGTGTCATAGACACAGAACAGAGGACACGGCTGCGACGGCGCGGAAGACGGCGTAGCTCGCCGGCGGCAGCTTCACCGGCGACGCAGAGGGTACCTCCGTGCTCGCCATGACTTACCGCGTCCAAAGACCTACTAACCCTAAGCTCTAGTGGACTCTAGGTACCCCGGCCTCGGAGCGCCGCGGCTCGGCCATGGCGCCGCGGCGGGCGGCGCGCGAAGTCCGCCATGTAGGGCGTGGCCAAGCACGGTATGAGCTTCAAGGACTCATGGGAAAGCTAAGGGGAGGAAGAAAAGAGGATGAGAGGGCTCGGTGGCGGTCGACCATGACG